ACCAAAATAATGGTTAGCTTGATTAAAGAGAAGCACAGCGACACAATAATGGTCATTTAGTACTGGGAAAAAGTAAGACCGACAGACAGTGACAACAGAGAGGAAGTAACGAAATAGGACCTACCAGTGACACCCTCCACCCACCCGCCCACCAAATACAAGCTTGTCAGCTTTTTCACAACCCGACTAGGGACATCCAACATTCTGGTGCTACCGGATGACGTAAAAGCGAACAGAATTATATAAGCTTTGGTGTCGTGTATGTGATAATGCTCTCACATTCCTGATTGGCGAATCCGGGAAATACATGGATAGGTGGCAAGCTCGCAAATATAATAATGCCCTCCTCCTCACGGCCCCAAAACAAAAGGCAGCAACAAGTGCACCAGTACATACTATGATCAATAAATAGAACAATATGTTTTTCCACGTCGTCTTCAGCACCAGAGTAGGCTACGTTATAAGACCACACGGAACGATGCACACGCTAGTTCAGGAACTAAAGTTGCCGCACATTGATCTAAGCAAAAAGAGCATGCGGTAAGAGGCTGTGCGGTGTGTGAGTGTGTGTGTGTGTGTGTGTGTGTGTGTGAGTGTGTGTGTGTGTGAGTGTGTGTGAGTGTGTGTGTGTTTGTGTGTGTGTGTGAGTGTGTGTGTGAGAGTTTGTGTACGTGTGTGTGTATGTGTGTGTGTGCGTGTGCGAGCGTGTGTGTGTGTGTTAGAGAGAGAGAGAAGGTAAGTGTGTGTGTGTGTGTATTTATGTGTGTATGTTTAGAGCGAGCCGGAATCCCCAGCATCTACACCATCCTCCAAAAAACGCGAGCCAGAAGGGCCGGCCACATGATCAGAATGGCAGACAGCCGACTGCCCAAACAGTTGAGTGGCGAGCTGTTCCATGGCAAGCGCTCAGTTGGAGGGCAGAAAAAACGTTTCAAGGACTGCCTCAGAGTCTCTCTAAAGGAACTTGGAATCCTGAACGACTCGTGGAAAACGCTGGCCTCAGATCGTCCCGCGTGGCGCTACATGCTAACGAAGGGAGCCAAAGCAGCAGAAGCCAAGCGAATCGCCGAGGCCAAATAAAAATGCAACGTGCGCAAGTTTAGACCTGCCTCCACCACAAGTCCAACAGCAGACTACCCGTGCCCACAATGTGGGTGAACCTTCCACGCCCAGATAGGACTAATCAGCCATCTCTGGACCCACAGTCACCGTCAACAGACCAATTTGTGAAGTCAGGGTCATCTTCATATGCGAAGGGCGAACAATAATGTGTGTCCGGTATGTTTGTGTGTGTGTGTGTGTGTGTGTGTGTGTGTGTGTGT